AGGAAGTTCTGATCTGATCCTGGGAGGTAACTCTGATTATTACCCTTGTCTCAGCTCACGTTAAAGATGAAATTCATTAGTAACTTTTTCTAAGTTCTTTACTGTACCAAGTAGTGAATGACAAGGTAAAGGTTAATGGCAGTTACAAAGCCTTACTTTGGATTTGAGATTCTTTCCTGAGCTATTTTGATGGAAAAAAATATTATTTAATATTCAAAACCATTGATGGTTTATTTTAATTGGGCTAAGTGATGTAGTTCTGAAAAATGAGTCCCTTTTGTTAGTCATACTTTCTTTCAAAACTGTTTTGGAAATTCTGCGCTTCTTCATAGCTGTCCCTGTCTGTGAGTAATTGAGTATATAGCGAGGCAGTCATCCTCTTGTTACTACAGTCACATTGCAGACGATAGATGGATGTGGAAAAGGTCTATTTTTTTATTGCTTCAATGTATTGCTAGTCTCTGTAGGCCTCATCACTCTTTCATTCCATTAACTTAGTTAAATTGCTGTCATGCCTCTAGTTTGAACAAAGTGGTAGTGAATCAAAGTTTAGCCGTGGTAGCCTTTGCCCAGTCTTCATGGGTAAGATGTCTTGTCTACATATGATACTTCATTTAAACACCCACACTTTTTCTGTCGCTACTTTTTCTTTTAAATTTTAAGCACAATATATATTTATCACATACACAGACAAACTCTGTCATTGAGTTGATTGTAACTCACAGCAACCTTTTAGGACAGAGTGGAACGGCCTCTGTGAGGTTCTGAGGCTGTACATCTTTACAGGAGCATAAAGTCTCATCTTACTCCCAAGGAGCAGCTGATGGGTTTGAGCTGCCAACCTTGTGGTTAGCAGCGCAATGCGTACTCATCATTCAATTTCAACTCGCTGTCATCAAGTATTGACTCATAGTGACTGTATTGACTCAAAGTGACCGTATAGGACAAGGTAAAACTGCCCCTGTGAATTTCTGAGACTATAACTCTTTATGGGGTTAGAGAGCCCTGATTTTTTTTTTTTTCAGGGAAGCGACTGGTGGTTTTGAACTGCTGACCTTGAAGTGTGTAACCACTTCGCTGCTGTCACACCAAAGTAGCTGTGTGCTTTTCTCTGTTCAGAGAATAACAATAAAAGAAGGAATGGATAAAGAGGAAATGCTATCATATGCGGTTGTAGGCATTAGGATGGTTCAGAAAACAAAACAGATGAACATCTCTGCACAGTTTTAGGAGGCTGGTGTGGGCCAAGTTGAGTGGGACTGAGGTGGCTGCAATACCTCAATCTAACCACCAGGAGGCGGCGCCGTACCACAGAGGGGAGCAAGCGTCTTGGACCTGGCCAGGTGTTGCTCTCTGATCACTGTAGAAGGGTTGTTTAAACTTGTCTCTTTG